TCCACCCGGGGGAGGGAGGGAGGGAGGAAAGACGACGCTTGACCTAGCCGCGGCAGTTTCATCCCTCAAGGCCACTCCGTGTAAACGCCAGCCGTCAGCAAAGCATAACAGATTTCTTCGCCCGCAACCCACCACAGCCAGCCCAAGCCAGTGATAGTGGCAGTGAAGATGACTTTGAGGGATTTGTCAGGGAAGCCCTGACAACTGTAAGTGACAGTGATGGTGATTCACCTAGTAATGGTGATTCACCTGAGGGCCAGTAATCTGCCATCTGCCTCGGAACCAGCCTCCATCCCCGTATGCCGACCCATCTCTTCTACTACCGTAAGTGTTACACCAAATTTTTAATTTTCTAACCTAACCTTTATTTTTCCTATGTTAACCTTTATCTTTCTTCTTCTATATTACTTGTTTTTTCATACCATCATAAAGTTAAGATAAAATTTTTACTACAACACAGTTGTGTGTCGTCAAAAAGTGGAGTTTGGGGATCGGCCTGGACTCCATTTCAATTAATCCCATATGTTATGTTATTCACTTTACGCGTTTCTCGCTTTCCGCGGTACCCTCCGGGTTACATTAACCGCGTAAAGTGAGGGTTAACTGTATAGTATTCCACATACACGTAAGTATAAATACAAAGTTTATGTGATGAAAGGACAACGTCCATTTCGGTTAACGTCACGTTTCCAAGAATGTATCTAGGACGTCAACCAGCGCATGACTATATATATATATATATATATATAGATATAGATATAGATATAGATATATATATATATAGATATAGATATAGATATAGATATAGATATATATATAGATATATATATATATATATATATATATATATATATATATATATATATATATATATATATATATATATATATATATATATATATATATATATATATACACACACACACACAGTAGTACCCCGATTTACGAGGTCAATGGAACCCACAGGGTACCGCGGAAAGTGAAAACCGCGTAAAGTGAACAACAGAACATATGGGACTAATTCCAATAGAGACTGGCCCGACCCCCAAACTCCACTTTTTCCGACACAATACCTATGTTGTAGCAAAAATAACATCTAAATTTTATGATGGTATGATCACACAATTAATATTTAAGAGAAATACAGTCGCCAGGTTAATGTCCATTCAAATAATGGACTCAAATCCTCCCCCCCCCCTTCCTAGCTCACTGGCCCCTACCTCTCTGAGAAATGATTGGGTGAAACACTAGATTTTAACGTTTAGTAATAAATAATACCTCAGACTAAAGTTAGGATAATATAATTGACATTTCTGGATTCCTTGCAGGTCAGGGAATATTTTGAATGTAAACTTCATATATTTTGCGCAAAAGATAAAATACTTGCTTTGTGTAAACCAAATTATTACATTAGATCTAAAATTTGTATGTCTAATGCAAAATCCATGATGTTTATATTCAAAATGATCATCATATTGTAAGAATTCCAGCAATGTAAATTATATTCTGGCCGGGTAATGTGTATGAATTTTATGAGCTAAATAAAAAAAAAAATAAAAAATTATACTTGACGCGTATATGAGTAGATGCACAATGGAAAGTGAAAGTCCGGTTCTGGCAAGGTACCGCGTAAATGAGAAATCGCAGAAAGTGAAACCGTGTAAAACGGGGTAATACTGTAATATAAAATTGTAAAAAAGTGCATAAATATGCATCTGAACTCCTGAAATAAAGAATATCATTATATATCATTAATACTTGTAATAAAAAACAATAAATTAGTACAAAAAAAAAAAAAAAAAAAAAAAAAAAATGTTCGTTGTAGGAGTTTCGTTCGTTATAGCATACTCAATTTTATAGGTAAAACCATTCGTTATAGGAATATTCGTAGTAGAATCCGTTCGTTATAGCATACCCCACTGTATATACGGTAAACAAGGACATGGGGGGCCAGGGGTATTTTTAGGGGGAGGGCAGCAAAAATACGCGGATTCTTAACATTCACGGGTATCTCTGTTACCTAACCCCCGCGTATGTTAAGGGCCGACTGTATATACTGTACATAAGAACTTATAAATCACTACTGTAATGTGATACAGATGATTAAATTTTATCTCGCGCAAAATATATGACTTTTACAGAATATTCAAATTATTCAGGCTTGCAAGGATTCTAGCAATGCAAATTCTATTCTCCTAACTTTAGTCTGTGATATTATATAAGATAAAAACATCAAGCCTAAGACCACCCAACCCTGGCTGGGAAAATTGGGTGGGGGGTGGGAGGGGCACAGTGACACGTTTCACAGCTGACGCGGAAGGTTTAGTGAAGCATTTATTTGTTTATTTATGTCTTTTAGACCGAGTTTTTGTTTTGTTTTTATAAAATGTCACTGAACTGACCGGGGAGAATATATTTTACATTGCTGGCATTCTTATAAGACAGTGATTAATTTGAATATAAACATGCTATAGTTTGCACTTGACAAAAATTTTAGTAATCATTTAGTACATTATTTTGAGTACATGTACAGTACAGCTTTGCCCTTAGAACAGTGTGTGCATGTAAATGAGTAAAAATAAATTAAGAAAGTTACATACATCGAGCCAAAAATATTAGTTGAAAAACTTTATGTAGACAGATGACAAGGGTGGAGCTTTGGCGGGCTAGTGCTTGGCGCGCGTGCGACCCATTTTGAAAATTTTTAGTTTGAAATTGGAAATTGTAACCTAACCCCCAAGGTAATCCACATATAGTTGAAACTGCATAAGAAAAATACGTGCAAGTTGCAAGTCTACTGTACAGTATTTATGAATATAATTAGTGCAATAAATAAAATATTTTAACAATTTTTTGATCTTTTATCTATACAGTCATCCCTTGGTTATCACGCCTAATTGGGACCGCGCCAAGTGCGTGATAACGAAAAACACGATAACGAAAGTACAGAACCTATGGAATTTATTCTAATTGGTTCCAGGCACCCAAGACCCAACCCCAATTTTCCCATTTTATGACCATTTAGACCCACTAAAGATATAGATAATGTTATGGTAAGTATCAGAAACACACATAGGCATGGCTAGGTTTATTACAAAGTGATGAAAATAGTACAATAAGTCTTGAGGGAAGCCTATTTTTATTATTATGTTCCGTAATATTGATTTATGATTATGGTCTTGTGTGTGTCCATTGCTTTGTTAATTTCATTTACCCATGTCTGGAAGTTTTGTAACTTTATTTCTTTGAGGTGCAAATTTTTATGTATGGGAAAATTTTTTAATATGTATGTTGGCTGTATTGTTGACAATTACCAAGTATTTCAGTATGCTTTGTTTTGAAAGATTATGTAATTACTGTAAATGTTTTGTTGACTATACTGCATAATACGAATCTTTGGGAGGTGAAAGCTTGGTAATGACCACAGTCGTACACTTCAGTTAACGTAAAATCAGACGATTCATATTACGCTCAATAGTCCACAAAACACGTAGCTATGCTTTTTTTATTTGAGTCCCCCGTCTGGGCAGTCTCCACTTTTCAGTCACTCACCTGTGGCATCCCCCAAGGCACCAAGATGAGACCACTCTGCTTCCTTATGCTTATCAATGATGCCCTAAGAGAAACCCCTGCTCACAGGAAATATGTTGACGACTCCACCATTGCGATCAGTGTCAACAACTCGGATCCCGACTACACTGCCCTCCAGGATTAATTGAACAGTCCCCAAAATTGGGCCACCAACAATCATAGCATGACCATGGTTATGCATATTAACCTCTCCTCCGACATTGTCTCACCCCCTTCCATTACTTTAGTCCCCAACACACTCCAGGTTGTAGAATCCACTAAGCTCCCAGGCATCACTATATATAACTAACTAAAGTGGAAAAAACACGTCAGTAAAGTTGTCAAATCCTCTAGTTTCGTCTCCACCTCCTCCCCTGACTCAAGTCCCTCGGAGTTCCTGCACCCGAGCTCCTCAGTGTTTACTCAACATTCGTACTTCCCAAGCTCACCTATTCCTCCCCTGCCTGGTCTTCCTCCCTAAATGCCACACAATGTAAACACCTAGAAAAAGTGTAAAAGAGGACGGATGGACGGACGGACGGACGCGCACGCATGCACGCACGCACACATACACACACACACATAGAGAGAGAGGAATTTAAGACAACAAGAATCCAGTGAGGGTTTTGTTGTGGCTGCCTAGTGGCGAGATAAACATTAGCTGTTGAGGAGTGCTCGGCAACACACTGTTGCGTATTATACAGTACTCCTTTCTACTCCATCTCTCTAATTTCCCACACCTTTCTGCTTTCTCACCCCATATTTTAAAATGTTATGTAATGTAAAAAGGATACAATTTTGCTTATTTATACTTATACTTATCACAATCTCACTAAAAATACTTTAGCTTTTGTGTTTATTCAAGACATCTTCAGGTCATGAGACCCACTAATCCCCCCGCCAAGAAAGGGTGACCTGACATTCCATAGGTCAGTAATATGAGAAATAACGGAAAATTGCATTTAACAGAAATTTTGATTTAACGAACAGGGGCGGTTTGAATTAGTTCGTTAAATTGAGAAAATACAGTAGTTCACCAGATGGCCATGAGGTGGCATTAGGGTAGATGACATCATAGCTGACAAATGAAGTGAGTGATGAGTTCCATATGCCGACTTGGCGGGATGACGAATATCATTAATACAAGCTTCTTTACTTGGTAAATAGGGAAGTGATCTTATTATATCAGCCATGTTAACGCAAATTATCATAGATTGGGATACAATAAATAGAGGTTTGGCTGTAATGTACAAGAAAGTTCTAAGCTTGGTTGAGGGAAAGCATCTATGTACAGTATGTGAAACTTAAATCATGTCCACTAGTGATGGTATTTTGAGCATTATAAAGATTTTCACACTTCTATACATTAGTAATGCAAACAACTTCAATAAAGCTAAATATATCAAATACACATCAAAAAGGATTCATACCTGGTGGTTCCATCTTGATCTTATCCGAGAGTCTTGATGGCCGTGAAGCAACTCTAATAGGTCGAGGTACAGCTCCGGTTCCTTGGCTGGAAGCCAGTACCCTCTCTCCATGTACTGAGGACCAGCAACACTCACACTTATTATCATTGTTACAGCATACCACTCATCATATAAAGGAATAAAAATAATTTTAATCTAATTAAAAAATTTATGCCTCAACACTTTTCAGAGATCCCTGGGTGACTGACCCATCTCCTTTTTTATGAAATTTCAACCAGAGTTGTGGAAATGATGGCTGATTCCTGTTAGCTAGGAAGTCACGGTTGATTGAGTTTTGGGAGCAGCGTACTTTGTTAACACTCACGACTCTGAGTATAGCAGTTTGGGTGGATTTTTTAATGCTCCTAACTTTTGTTATTTTGAAGATATCAAGCTGCAATTAGTTGTACAGGTATACATTCTTAAATTCACGACCCTTAAGCCCAAGAGTAAATCAGTTTTGAGTATTTTTCAGTTTTCTGGGTCCTTGGTGATTCATCTGTTACCCTTGGCCCACCAGTAGACTGGACAAGTTTTGCTTCCAGAAACTTGCACAAACTCAATTGAGCATTTGTTTTACTTCTTAAATTGCAAAAATAAATTTAACATTACAAATACGTACAGTAGTCTACTCTTGAAGTTGAGTCCCTAAATAGGCCGACATCACACTGTAGTAAGCTGCAAGAGTGTTTATGTCACATGTAGTGTTCATAAATAACCATTGTCTCATTGAATAAATAACCGAATACAGTACTGTACCGTGATTAACGTTATTCATATATCATATTTTGAAATTCGGACATGAAAATATATGGCGCCACAAGCCTATCGTGCAGCAGCATGGGTGGTCCACCCTCACCTGTCCTGGTCAAGTGCACCCTGCAGCGGATAATGGAACTACCATGACCAGCTCTTTTGCTGAGAGGTGAGCATGATATTGTTGTCAATTAATTTATACACTGTTGCGGAAGGTACAAGCCAGTTATATCCTACTACGAATATTCCTATAACGAACGGTTTTACCTATAAAATTGAGAATGCTATAACGAACGAAACTCCTACAACGAACATTATTTTAATTTTTTTTTTTCTAATTTATTGTTTTTTATTACAAATATTAATGATATTCTTTATTTCAGGGGTTTAGATGCATATTTATGCACTTTTTTACAATTTTTACAATTTTATATTATATTTTTCAGTGTCAAGTGGTTGTATTTGGGGGCCTGGAACGGATTAATCCTAAAATGAACGAATGCTATAACGAACAAGGTTCTAGAACCAATTAGATTCGTTATAGCATACCCCACTGTAATATTAAAAAAATTTGCATGGGATAATTTTCCACGGAGAAGAAGCGACCTATCAGCTGAGGAAAATAATTAAAATATGAACAGCATGACGCCATGCGCATTCACTATTAATTAAAATATTACTGGCAAGCCGTAAGGGATGTTCTTGTATGGATGAAAGGCATAAATAAATATTAAAATAGCTGCTTGCCACTCCCTACATAAGAAAAAGGCCACCAGTGAAAATTAAAAGATTAATCAAAAAATGAAGGTAAAATGGACTTTGGGTTGAGGAAATCTGTAGGACAGAGAAGTTCAAACGCCCTTACTTTCCCTCCTGACTGGGTTGGGTAAGGACGTGCCCAACTCCTCAGGGTATGCTTTAAACCCCACATGCTCACAACTCTTGCGAGTGACATCTACATTACTCACAAGCAAATTCCCTTCAAATGCGTGAAAAAGAATAGAAAGGCATTAGTAGGAGTAATCCAAGTGGCTAATTGGAGGATTATTCTAGGTTTTTTGACGTTTACATGGTGGCTGGTGTTACCTGATGGGCGAGATACGTCACTGGTGACCTGGCATGGATATAACAACCAGGTTGATGACCTGATTGACTGGCTGATTGATTAGACGATTACCCTGATTGCGCCTGATTTGTGTGCAAGTGCACATGTGGAGTGAGCTGGTGAGACCAGGGTCCTAGCCATCCCTGGCTGGGAGCCCTAAATGCGGAGTCCGACGAGCAGACCACCCAGGACACCATGTGCCCAGCTAAGACATACTGTACACATCACATTGAGGAAGAGGGTGCACAGGGAACATAGGGGGCTCAAGCTAAATAACCCTAATTCTACCTAGTAACCTGGCTAGGAAGAGGTGACCTGAGGAACCCCACCCCATTCTGACTGGAGTCATATACCATCTGGCTGAACAGTGACCTGACACTCAGCAGCAGATTTACCTCTGTTGCTCTCACTTTTCAACTAACATTAATGGGAATCAATGGCTCCTGTATGCAACCGAGTGAACTCTACCTTGTGGGTGTAAGCTTGCTTGTTTATGGGATAATTTAATGTGGTGGAACTTTTGAGTAACTAGAGTAACCACTAGAGTAACTATTGGCTTAAAAGAGTAACTGTGCTGACCATTATTAAGTAGCTTCCATTTCATGAACGGTTGATATATACAGTGGTCCCTCAGTTAACGAACGGTTCGGTTAACAAAATTTCAGTTAACGAATTACCTTCCATAAGAATCTTCAATTCGGTTAATGAACAAAAATTCGATTAATGAAATCCTTACGAATATCACGTTTTGTTGCGAGCATCAGCTGAGCAGCTGATGGGCTAGTCTGCCAATTCAGTAATCCGGTCAATGTTTACATTCGTTTCCAGTGGAGTAAATATCAAGAAAGTTGTGCTCTTTAATATTTTTGCATTTTCTATAATTAGTCATTCTAACATTTATTTAACATACTGTACTGATAATTATGCAGTACAGGCAACTAGTTTTTGTGCACCCATCAGATGCGTGAGTTGGCCACAAGGCGTCAGTTGAGTTTTGAAAACAGTAGAGGGAGCGTCTATTTTCTTGGTGTCTTGAATATTTTTGCATTTTTCATTGAAATCATTGGTCATTCTGAACTTTAGTTAACATATTGATAATATATAGCGCAGTGCAGTGTTGATTTAAATAAAATAATCCTGAATTACACCTAGTGAACTTAAAATTTTATTGGTGAAACTACTGTAACAAGCATGGGTCCCCTGAAAGGTGATTTCTCCTCCATCCCCACTTCCTTCTCTTCTCCCTTCTCCACCCCCACTTCTAATTCCCATCATCATCAACTAGGAACCTTCTACATACACACCTTAAATTAAGTGTACTTTACTGCACTTTTTTTTTTACTTTGTACTGTATGTACTTTTCGGTGAGCTGGAACCAATTACCCAATATCCCATTGAAACAATGGATTCAGTTAACGATATTTTCGGTCGTAAATCGAAAATGCTACATAGAAAATCTAAAATGGGTGTCTCTTTTCTCTCACTTTTGAGCTTGCCAGCCATTTTAAAGTGAATTACAAACAGAAATTATGTCAGCACACAACGCAATCACTGACGTTGGGACTCGAAAATACGTAATTTGACAAAATTTTGGTACGACCAAGGCGGTTGTGTGTCTGGGTGGTCATAAGTCGGGGAGTAACTACGCACGCACGCAGGCACGGACGCACGCATGCACGGACACACACACACACACACACTACATCCTTGACCACCGAAGGGTCAAGATGTACCTGGCGCTCCTCTCGGAGCAGCCAGGTCAACTGTTAAGTTGGCCCATACCAACCCCTTTCCCTGAACCCTCCTCCTCACCGGAATATCAACAAGTTCTCGCCAGAAGTTACAATTTCATTTAGGAAAGGAATGGAACCAGTGTTAAACAAAGGTGAACAGTGGTGAACAGTGCTTAAGTCAGTGAGAACAACTCAACAGTAACAGTCGTACCCAAGTTAACCTTCACACAGTGAGGTCCCAGGTACCCAGTGATAACGGCCCGTGAGACCCAACAACAACCAGCGATGTGTTAATCCGTCTACGATAGGAAGGCCTGGGACCAAACCTCACTCATATAACACCATCTGTGAAGGAATTACTACACCACATGAGGCCCCCTCATAACACCATCTGTGAGGGAATTACTACACCACGTCAGGTCCCTCATAACACCATCTGTGAGGGAATTACTACACCACGTCAGGTCCCTAATAACACCATCTGTGAGGGAGTTACTACACCATGTGAGGACCCTCATAACACCATCTGTGAGGTAATCACACCACGTGAGGTCCCCCATAACACCATCTGTGAGGGAATTACAACACCACGTGGTCCCTCATAACACCATCTGCGAGGGAATTACTACACCACGTCAGGTCCCTCATAACACCATCTGAGGGAACCACTACATCAAGTGAGGTCCCTCCTAACACCATCTGGGAGGGAGTTACTACACTACGTGTTTGCTGTTCAACACGTACAATCCTACATTAATCTGTAGGTTCACTATATGTTCCTTTACCTTTCTCTAATGAAGGCTTTTGTTAAACCAATGTATGTAATAAGTCATTTATGTCCAATGTATATTTTCAGCATTCGGGCTGCAGAACTTTTTCAATAAACCGTTAATTATATATATATATATATATATATATATATATATATATATATATATATATATATATATATATATATATATATATATATATATATATATATATATATATATATATATATATATATATATACACAGTATTACCCCGCCTAACGCGGTTTCACTTAACGCGTTTTATCATATACGCGGTGTCTCGCCAGAGCTGAACTTTCACTTAACACGGATTTTTTCATCATATACGCGGTGAGTGTCCGGCTCGACGCTATTTTTAGATTTGCCCCACCCTCGACCCTGCCTGACTGCCTGTTTTAGCTCATAAAATTCATACAAATTACCCGGTCAGAATATAATTTACATTGCTGAAATTCTTATAATTTGATGATCATTTTGAATATAAACATCATATATTTTGCATTAGACATAAAATTTTTAGATAAAATGTTTAATCTGAGTAAGTATGTTATCTTTCGTGCAAAATATATGACGTTTATATTCAAAATATTCCTGGTCTTACAAGGAATCCAGCAATGTCAATTATATTATCCTAACTTTAATCTGAGGTATTATTTAATACAAAATGTTAAAATCGAAATTTTTCACCCA